CTTAGAAAGTGGCAAATAGAGTGGGATAAGTGTGTTCAAAGAAGGGGGGAGTAATTTGAGGGTGATTACGATGTGTCTTTTACTGTAATAATGAATGTTTTTGTTTAAACATTTCACTTTACCATATGTATTGATCACTCCCTGTGTATATATACATATGCATGCACACATATCTATATTTCTTTGGCGGTATATCTAGCAGTAAAATTACTTGGTCATAAATATGTATATGTCCAGCTTTAATAGGGTTGCATTTTTCATACGTATATTGGGTATTGGATTATTGCTTTTTCACTCGCTTAATACTGTGTTTGATGAACAGAAATTCATGACATTAATGTAGTCTAGTTTGTTATGTATGTTAAATGTGGGTTTTTTGCCATGTTTAAGACCTATTTGTCTACTCTGAAGTGCTTTATATTTTGTTTTCCGCTAAAAGTCCTTGTTTTACCTTTTAGACTTATCATTTTAGATTGTGGTTTTGGGGGGTTTTTTTGGTACTAGGGATCGAACTCAGGACCTTGCGCTTGCAAGGCAGGTGGCAGCACAGCACCACTGAGCTAAATCTCCAGCTCCTAGATTGTGTTTTCTTGTTAGGCAGTTTTGTTGAGGTTTTTTTAGACTCAAGGCTGAATCTGGACACAGAGAAAAAGGAGGTAGTCTTAGGTTACTACCATGCTTAGATACTTCTCTCATGTACCTTATATAGTGGTCTACATCCATGTTGACATGCTGTGCTTCTGCAGTGTACCTCCTGGCATGTTCAGTGCACTGTGCTAGGAGAATGTGCCAGATCACTCAGAGAAAAGTAAATGTATGGTTTTTAGTGTTGATAATAATACTAATATTCATAAATACTTTTATTTGTGATATAAAATTTTTATAAAGTATTCTCAGACAGAATTGTAATTACTTCATTTCAATATTGTTTAGTCTATTAAAGCTTAGGATATTAAATATACAGTCATTTAACTGAAGGGAAATTGTTTTAACATTTTGTCACCAAAGCAATATAGAATCCAGGCTATTATATTTTAAATATTTTCATAAACTTTTTAATTTCAGTAGGATTTCTTTTGATCTTGTGTGCAGGTTTGAACATTTATAGTCATCTATACTTTTTATTGTTCAGAAATATTTTCATTGTATGTTCTGATTATATATTATTATATTATAGAAATGTGTTCTTGAATAACCTGATTTAGTTTTTGTCTTGTCAATAATGTATATTATTAACTTCATGATGATTGTATTACTTAATTTTATATTTATATTTTGTAATGAGAGTAATTGCCTATTGTAAAATGTATTTTGCCTCTGATCATAGTGCTGAAATTAAAAAAGGTGATTATACTTGACTTCTCACTAAGCATTTAGATAAATTTTTCACTTGTCAACTACATTTTTTAGTTTAAAGCATCAAATTAACTATTATTTTTATCCTGGCTTTTATTTTAATTCATCCATTTAAAAACTGAGATTCAGATAAAAGATAGTTTCAAAATAAATCCAGTATATTATTTATGAGTGGAGCAACACATTAGCATTGGGTTCACAATAGATCATATCGCTTTTATTCCATCTTACAAGCTTAGCAGCACAAACAGAATAATCAACATATTATTTGGCTGTCATCTGCTGAACAGAAACCAGAGATCACAAGGAGGTTTTCCCTCGCTGCGGAGATGGCCTTTTTGTTCCAAGCCCCCATCTGGGAGGCCGCGGTGTGTTATCATATGGAACGCGGGCTTTGCTGTAATCTGCTTAGCTGCACTGCAGTTGGAATCTTCATTCCATGTTTGTGTAATTTATAATTTTAATGAGACCATGGCTCTTGTGGGCTTTGAAATATATTAAAAGCTCTTTTGTGCATATGCTTTTGTTCTTGCTTAATAGGCTCAGTGTATTTAAAACTGATGAATTTTTATTCATGAATTTAGATGTCTGGAGATTAACTTAGATTGAATATCATTGCACTCTTCTATTGATGGCTAGAAAGTTTTTTTTGAGGGGGGTTATTGTTATTATTTTGTTTGCCTTTTGTATATATGTCAATGTGTGGTACTTGTAACCTGAAAGGGAATAAACAATACTAAAAGGCTAGAAAAAAGTAACATTACTGGGTAAGAAAGAATCGATTTAAATTTTGTCCATCTTGTTTCTTGATATTCAAAATCATCTGTAGTCTTATCGTAGATAAATATAATTATGAAAAGCCACTTTTAAATCCATTAGTACTATAAGTACTTTCGTTTATACTGAAATCATATTTCAATGTGTAAAAAGATTTGGATTAAATTAGTTATATATTTTAATTATTTTTAGTTTTCCTTATTTCTATAAAGCGCTTTTTAGTAAAGGGTCTTTTAAAAATTCCATTGATGGATATGACAAAAAAATATTATGGAAAAGCTTACTAATAGTTTCTAAAATTGATCCCTTTGGTTTTGCTAACATTTTGAAATATGGTAAATGCTTAAAATCTTTATAGTTATTACTTAAATATATTTAAAACTTAGGGGTCATACACAGGCTTCACCAGCCGTCTGTGAAGGTGCACAAGAGGAAATTTATTTAAAAACCTGGACTAAAGCATGTTGAAATTAGTCACATTATTCCTTTTAGGTATGCAATAGCCATCTGTGAGGTCTTTCCTCCCATCAGTACCCTTAAGGCAAAAACATGAAGTAGGGGGTAAAGTGACAGAATCTTGTACTTGCTCTGCTAAGTTTATTTGCTGAAACACTGGGATGTGTGTTCTTCCATCATGACCTGCAGCTTCAGTGCTTTTATTAGTTGTGCATTCTGTTTAGCAGAGGAACATCTTATTGACAATGTATGACCACTAACACTGTGCTCTCCTGTAGAAGTATGATGTAAGTCACACATATATATGATTTAACCAACTCCATCCAAAAGTCTCTTTTCAACACGTAGTCAGTATAAAAATTAACAAAATATTTTTCTTTCTTTGTTTTTGTATTGTCTTCAAAGTGTGATGTGTATTTGAATCTTACAGTAAACCTCAGTTTGAACTAGTCACCCTTCAGGTCCTTAGGAACCACACGGGCCAGTGACCACCTCACTGGGCAGCGTAGTTCTGAAGTATTTCACAATTGTAACAGAATGTCGTGAAAATTTATGAGCTTTTCTTGGCATTCACTATTTTTTCTAGTAATACCCTAAGCCAGTTGGTGGTGAATCTATGGCAGGCATGCCGCACAGGCTGTTTATCACTGAAAGCTCTGAAAGGTTCACCATCACTGCCCTAAGGTAAGCAAAATAGTATGTGCTGTGTAGTTGCAATTAAATACCATGTTTTTGATACCTCTGCCACTGATATCTTGATGTGTATCTGTCTGTTTTATACACAAAATCAGAATTATGTCTCTGATTACTGAGTACCTATCAGACATTGTACAGATTCACTTACAGATATGGTAAAGACAAGGAGAAAATGCCGTGGAAGTAGAATGTACCTCAGAAATTGTGGGCAAATCAAACTTGTCAAATAAGCCGTATTTCAAGTAGCCTGAGGGGCATAGTTTTATAAGAATCCCACAGCAAGCCTTTAATACTTTGGGTTTTTTTTTATATTAACTGAGGATGTTTCTTCTTGACACACTTAAGACTTTTCTTGGACAGGTTTTGTGTGAATGAATATGAATCATATATATACACACACATATATATATATATATGTATATCTAGTTTGCTTAAGGGCTGTTTTAAACTACTTGGAGGGGGAAATGGTGATCATCAAATACTGTTTTCTAAATATCTCTTAAGATTCTTTGCATTAAAATTTCCTGTATATAAATAGGATGAGTTCACTGGTATTTTAAAAGCATAGCTAAGAATTATAAAAGCTTTAATTATAATTGTCTAAATTGATTCCAGTATTCTAAAATATGGTTTTAAAATGATTAAGGGGATTTGGATTAAAGACTGCAGGTTTACCTACTTTATAAAAAAAGTGTAAAACTTGTCCTGTGTCGTTGACCTCCTTGCTGGAGAATGGTTTACAGAAAACCTTACATATATTCATGAGCTCTCTTCTTCACGTTTTCTAAATTTTGAGGGATGTGACCTACTGTTTACATTACATCATGTTTATGTAGGTATTTTCAAATGCCTATTATATTCTTTGATTCACTTAAATGTTTATTGACTACTCTCTGTGGCGTCCGCATTTCAAGTGTTGGCACAAAATGTTAAACTACTCTTTAAATAATACCTCTAGTTTCTTGGAGATGATAAATCTGTCCATTGATTTCCTAATTTTATTATATACACAGTCAATTGTAATCCAAGATTACAGCAAACAAGATGTTAATTTCTAGACATAATCTATGTACATTCCAATTACAGAGCATGATTGTTATAGAAGCACAGAATAAAAAGGAATAACATTTGTGCTATCCTCACAGGAGCTGTCAATAAAAGATGTAATAGGGGATTTAGGAATCTGGAAATGGCCAACTAATTTATGTGAATCTGTTTTATTTCAGCTAGAAAGACCAAGCTCTTTTTCGTCTGCACTGCATATTGCACAGCGCAAGCTGTCTATACAAAACCAGGCGGCTGCATATGGATAGTCCCTTGATATCATTCACTTGCTGTGTAATCTTATTATGCAAAGTTCTAATCTTCACCTAGAATGAATGCCTCTGGGTCAGAATATAGTCATATCAGGGTTTTTGAGGTCATGTTTTGTGATCCTTAGCTTATTCTTCTAAGTAGGGCTGGGATTTAAAGGGTATTCCCCAGACACTGGCAGAGATAGACAGCAGAACCTGCTGCCTTTTTGGAAGACAAGACCAACATGAGGTCCCTGGTAGGATTAAACTTGATTTGTAGCTGTAGGATTTTTTAACAGATGTATTATTGGACAGGGAATAGGGGGCCACCAGCGCAGCAAAATTGAATCATGGCTGGCATTCTCAGGGAGTTTGCTGCCTGCTAAAACAGCAGCTGCATGTGGATTTGACTTCTTTCAGGTGAAGCGACTTCCAGTCATTTGGAAAGGATGGGATGAAAAGGAACCTTGGTGATAATTTTGATGTCTGCAAGATTTAGTACCAGTGTAATGGGATTATCGGTAACACCTTCACTGCAGAAAAAGCCACCTGGCGCTATAACTGGCAGCAACTGAGAACTAATCCTTTCCCATCTCTTGGATGTCATTCATGAAGCTCAAAGCAATTTCTACCCTGCTAACTGTGATTAATTCTATAAACAACAACAAAAAAATCAGGTGATCCAGGCAAAGAATATACTTTTTATTCATTGTTTATAATGGGCAGCCTTACTTTAAGCTTTGTGACGTATAAGTTATATGAGGCACAAACTATAAACTAGATACAGTTCAGAATTTGTTAAACTGTCCATATAGGAAAGCTTACTAATTGTGTCTTTTATACCTTTTTTAGTTAGCAGCAAAGTATTTGCTACAGTTTCAGTTTCATATTTTAGATTCCAAATTTAAATACTATTATTTTCTTTTGGATATAAGGCCATTATTAAAGTCAGCATAATGTCGACAGGTGTAAGACAGAAATTGAAATAATTTGTTTTGTCAGATAATTTTCCAGTTTTGGACTGCTTTCATTACTACTAATGAAGTATTTTTAGTAAATAAAACACTTAGTATTGTAAGATACATAGACACATATTTTGGCAGTGAAGGTAAGAGTTCGGACAAAGCGTTCTGAAAATACATGCTCTGTATATAAAAGTTCTGGTAGTTCATACCGATGACTTCAGTGATTCTTCATCACGTTTTTCTTTAGCCCATGGAGGTTACTTATTTGCTCTAGAATCTTTGCATTAGTTCATACTTTTAGCATTTCATTTCAACCAAAAACTTTATCAACTACTTTGTTTAGAGGTGTTAATTATTTTAGTATTCTTCTCTTACACAATCCAGAATAGAGTGAGAGAAAATGAAGTCCAATTATCCCATCAGTCGCCCAAACAGTGTGCAACATAACTGCCAAGACTAGAAAAGATAATTAGGGTTGTCAGTGTTATGATCCTAGAGCACTTAATTTAGAAGCATTTATTCATAGAACTGGATTTTTATCTTACCATGTTTTTGATGTAGTAGCTTGATATTTTAAATATATGATAAGACCTAAGTGGGTAAATGTTTTTAAACTTTAGAATTTCAACTAAATATAGGTACGTGAAATTTTGATGAAATTATAACAATAAAATATTATGTATTTTACACATGGCTAATAATGTACATGTAGCCTCCTTTTCCATGTAGTATCTTTTATTCTCCATTTAAAATCTTTATTGGAAAAGTCAGCAAGCAGGAGATAGTGTATATAAAATTCTTTCATTAAATCTTCCTTGCAAACTTGCTGTTCTTAATGGATTTAGTTTAACTGGTTCTCATCTATTGTGTCCAAAATATATTTCTTCATTTTTGTTACATTTTAAATGAATAGATGAGAAAGCTTAACAGTATTCCTACTGACCTGCATTATGTTAATTTGTAAACAACTTCTGTAGACTTTTGTTTATATTTCTACTGTTTGGAAAATTATTTATTTAAAAATTTTACTGTAGCCTGAAAAGAGCTATCCATGAACTAAATGAACTGAAATTTTTTTCTTGTATTTTAATTATCAAATGTTTGGCTTATATGTAATGTCATATTATTAGCCAGGTGGTTTATTTTAACAGTATAACTTTCTGTGGTCCTTAATAACATCATACAATTATCTTCTTAATGTACCTTCCTTTTCAAACCACATTTTGACTGGAAGGTTTTATTAAATGTGGTCAATAGCTGGGCATAGTGGCTCATACCTGTAACCCCAGCACTTCAGAGGTTGAGGCGGGAGAATATTGCGAGTTCAGGGCCAGCCTGGGCTACATAGTGAAACCCTGTCCCCCAAAAAACAAAACAGAACAAAAAGGAAACGTGATCAGTATTTGCTTTGATGCTGCTTTTCACCTGTTTACTGAGTGGCTCCTGAGAGTTAGTGTGTTTTTCTCCTCTCTTGGGCATCGTTCTCACTTGACTAGACATAGTTACTTCCTTGGAAAGTCCCACATAAACTCATCTTAGTTCAGTTCACCGTAAACATGGAAGATCTTTTCACTGACATTCTTTTCTTAGATACAGATTATTTGAAGTTCATACCTTCTTGATGGCTTAAAGAAACTGGCTCATCTTGAAAAGCTAGATACTAATTTAATTTGTGGCACAGGAAACTCAAAACGTCAAGGACAGTTGTATGTTGGGAGATAGAATGGGATACAAGGTAAGAGATGAGAAGAGATTCTTCAAAAGGAGTAAGGCAGGTGTAATCAAGAGAAGAATGGGGATCTTGGGAATTCTTGATTGTTTAAGGAATGATGACTTCGTTCTCCTCTCCTGGTGACACAGACTGAGACCCTCTCGGACCCTGCGTGTCGTGCAGCTGGCCGCAGGGACAGCGGGCCAGGGCCACTCAGTGCCGCTCCTCCGTTGGCACTGTCGCTGTTGCCTGCCCCGCTGCTGTTCCTCTCATGCACACGGATCACAGAGCCGTTGAAGGTGGATGCCCTTGGTTTGGGTACAGTATTTTATTGTTTCAAAGCTGGTGGTTGATCTGATTAAAAATCTCAGCTGCTTATGCATTATAAACAGTTTTGATTTTGGAGATATATAAAAATGAACTTAGGAAAATAACATTGGATTGAGATACGTGGTCATATTTAGCATAAAGTTCAATTGATAACGAAAATTTATAGAACTACCCTATTCAGTTTAAAAATAATGAATGGTTAAATTTTTTCCAATTTCTGAAAATACAAGCATGTCTCTGTGGTGTCAGATGGCAGTGCAAAGCCTTTTACTGGGACTCCACCCTGGGAGAGTGAAGGGCCAACCCTGTGGCTTGTCCCGAGAGTCCACTCATTAGCTCCATGACAGGAGCTTGAGGATTTGGATTTTGAATCTTGGTGTTGGTTTCCAGTCATTTGGATGCTTCAGTCAGAGCTAAAGCAGTAGTCACTGTTTTAAACCACTCGGTAAAGGCATTTGTTTCCTCTAGGAAGGAAACAAAAAGGTTTTAGCAAAGCCTTAGATTGTGCCCAAAGCATCTCGAATTTGCAGTTCTGGAAAATAAGAGCCCTGTCAGGTCTTCCGGTAGACCTACCGTGTGCAGGCTGAGCTGTCAGCAGCAGCCCCAAGGGGAGGAGACCTGGCAGCTGCTGTGTGGCGTGGAGGTGTCGCTGGTGAGCCGGGCACCCGCAGCCCCTGTGTCTTAATGCGCCCCTGTTGTCCTCTCGTGACAGCCACCTCCACTAGGGTCTGAAGCGGACATGGGTCTTTCCGTTCTGTGCTCTGTGTCAGTGTTCTTGGGTCTGAAAGTCACACAAGCCTCAGAAATGTTGAAGTCTACTATTTTTTCCAAGTGAAGGTCAATTAACAAATTTTGATGTTAGATTTGTTTTGTTTCCCCATCTACTTGCTTCTGCTTATCTTTCCTTAATGCGAACGCCTCTTTAAATGCTAATATGTCCCTCTGTCTGCAAAAAATGTAAATTAATGACTTCTCTGATTAGTTGCTCATACTCTAGAATGGATAAGTGACTGCAAACCGTGGCCGTGATAAACATTTGACACATCACATATTTTTGCCTATTTCTGAAACAAAATCCCTCCTCTTCACAGGAACCTGGTGGACATTTTGTTTGTGGCTTTTGATAGTCTACAGTCACTCTGAAGCTACTTCAGTGGCTAGATCTAAATTAGGATCTCAGAGGCATGCTAGGCCCTGAGTTCCATCCTCACTAGTGGAGAAGAAATTATGATAATACTGGGCCTTAGAATTGAATGCCTATGTCCAGAATCTTCAGGGATAGAGAATTTGTAATTGCTTCTTAGCTTCTTACTTTGCTCAGTCTTTGTGCTTGGCTTTAACATCAGTCCAGCCTTCTTCCCATGTTTATTCCTAGATGCCTATTGGATAGTTTTCAAAACTTTATTTTACTTAAACTGAGAAGTGGTGTTGCACTGCAATAGGATTTAGAGCTGGAGCCCCCCATTTTGAATTCTGGCTCCACCTACTTTGGTCTGTGATTTCAGATGGTTCTGTTATCCTCTCTGCCTCTGAGTTTCTTTCTTTGTAAAATGAGATTCCCACGTTCTCCTAGAATTGGTGCCAAGGTTGGATGAGTTAGTGTCTGTAAAGCAGTCGGAACTATGCCTTACACTAAGTAAGAGTGGCCATGTGTTCACTATTATTGTTGCTGTTATTTTGGTTCATATTTGAAAATTTTTATGTTTACTGAAAGAAACCATTATTAGCTGCACCCTTCATGTTTTCTAACATTACTTTAGCATCTGTCTATAATGTGAAGCATTATTGAAATGTTCCCCATGCCAGCATTGTATTGAGTTTTACTGTATTTTAAACAGAGCCTGTTAAAAGTATCATTTTACACTTCCTTTATTATATTAAGTGACAGTCACAATTTTAAACATTTTCACTTTTTCCCTAGCTTTCCTTTTAGTTATTTGATAAAGTATGTAGGTTACCTTTAAAAGAATTGTATTAATGATTCCGTTTGTTAAAGATGTGAATGTAATGGGGAATAAAAGGTGATGCATTCCGTATCCTGGGTGGAATAGAAATCTTTTTGCCCATGCTTCCCAACTTTTCTGCAGCATGCATGGCAGGTTCCGTGGCAGCTGGTGTTTACTGCCGGGGTGAACAGACCGGCATGTGGAGGTGGCCTGTGAGCACCCAGGGCTGCGGCCCTGGCTCTCCGATGCTGCTGTGCTCAGTCATCGGGAGCCTTGCGCACACAGATTTCTGAGAGCACTCTCAACGGTCCTTTCTGGTTTCAAAGATTCTTTTTCCTTTCCTTTCTTTTCTTTTCCCTTTTTTTTTTTTTAAACTGCGATGGGGGTCTGACAAGGTTGCCCAGGCTGGTCTCGAACTGGTGGACTCAGAAGGCTCCTCTTGCCCTAGCCTTGCTAGTTTCCAGGACTAAGGTATGCATTATTCATTCCTGGCCCCAGATTTCTGATTCTGTAAGTCTTGGATTTGGCCTGAGAATTTGTCTGGCATACTGCCTTGAGGCCGCTCTGAGGACCCCTGCTTTCCTGTGTCACTGTCCTCATGTGCAGGGCAGAGCAGCGGCCCTCCAGGGATGTCATTGTGGGCAACCCACCAGCCGGCGAGTACCATAAAAGGGACTTTGCAGGTGGGATTCACTTAGGGGCCATAGACGATCATAGACCATCTCAGTGAGCTCACTGTACTCACAGCTCCTTAAAGTGACGGGAGGAGGCCTGAGAGACAGAGTCGGAGGTGTGAATGTGGAATAGTAGCTGGAGCCACACGGGGCATGCAAGTAGAAGGAAAGCGCCCATGAGCCACGCAACATTGGTGGCTTCTAGGAGCTGGCCAAAGCAAGAAAGTGGACCTTGCCCACTGCCTCCAGAAGGACTGGAGCCTGCCCAACGCCTACAGGTTAGCCCAGGACTCCATATCAGACTTCCGGCCTGCAGACTGGGAGAGTCTACATCTGTGTTGTCTTAAGCCACTGAGTTTGTGGTTGTTACGGCAGCAATAGAATACTAACACATCAGTAATGAATTCTGTTTACTAGATTGCTTTGTGCCAGGGATTCCCAATTTCACCACAGCTTCAACTTAAGAGCTTGAGAAAAACATAAGGCAAGAGCTCCCTCCTGCCATCGAACTAAAAAAACTACCAGTAACTGAACTCTTTATTTTCTTCCTTTTTACACTTGGGAAAGTGTTTCAGCTTCTCTCAAGGCAGTTACTCTACTTTTGTTTGATCCTTTTTCTCTTTTCCCCTTTAAAAAAACTTGAGGCATGATATGTACTTGTATACACATATACACCCCTACCATGTCATGTGTGTAAACAAATGTATGTACATGTGTAACCACTGCTAGGGTTCTAGTATCCCCAGAGATAAACCACTAATTTAACCTCTGTCTTAGTTTAGTTTGTATTTGGCTTCCATGAAAATTAAGAATATAAGTGGAATTATATACTATCTACTCTTTCGTGTTTGTCCTTTTTATTGCTATGCATTACACCAGTATGTGAATATACCACAACTCACTCATTTTCCTTATGCTTGACATTTAGGCTGTTCATATTTTGCGGATATTATCAATAAAGCTACTTTTACTGTGTGTGCACGGGTCTTAGGGAACAATGTTATGGTATACATGCACGGTGTCCCCCAAGTCTCGTGTGCTCACAGAAGGGGCAGGCCATTCGAAGTGTGGCCTGGAAGGGTGCGCTCTTGTTCCTGGCTCCTCCCTCCTCTCTCTGCTTCCTAGTTGCCATGCGTTGAGCAGCTCTCTTCTGCCGTGACCCTCTACCATGCCGTCTCTGGCTTGGAGCCAGCCAGTCATGAACTGAATCTACCAAAACCATGAGCCAAGATAACCCTCCCCTCTTTTAAGTTGCAGATGTTGGGTGTATCTCCCAGCCATGAGAACATGACTGATACAAACATAAACATCTTATTCTGTGGAATATGCGTCTGGGAGTAGTGTATTAGTCACCTTTGCTGTTGCTAGGACAAAATACCCAGCACCTGCAAGTAAAAAGAGGAAGGATTTAGTTTGGCTTACAGTTTGAAAAGTTTTAGTCCATGGCAGAGGGACATGACTGCTCACCTCATGACAGTCAGAAGCAGACAGGGAAGAGCCCAAGTAAGAAATACGTCCTCCAGAGGCACCCACCCCAGGGGCTTCTCTGACCCAGTTGCACCCTGCTTCCTTACAGCACACGTGGCTGCAATGGTAGGACAGCCTGACGATCCAGTTCTGACAGGCCCGGCTCTGGGCATACGAGGCTTCCAGAGTGATGTATAAATTTCCTTTTCACCAGCATGAAAGAGAGTGATGGCTACTCCACACCTTTCTTAGTTCTTAGTGCTGCCTTTTCATTTGTAGCCACAGTGGTGGCTTTGTGGTAGTATCACTTTGTGGTTGTATTGATTGGCAGTCATTTGATGACAGGCAATGAGAAGTGTTTCGTGTTCTTACTGACTGACAGTGAGTCTCAGTTGTTGGCTTGACTGGATCAAGAGGCCGGGTCAGGTGTGTCAGAGGGTTGTTTCCAGACACCACTGGTGTGTGCAGCAGGAAGGTGAGGGCAGAGGGCTGCCCTGAGTGGGGGTGCGCTGTCCAGCAGGAGCAGGAAAAGGAAGCCTCTGCATGGGGGGCTGTGGTGTTTCCACTGCCAACCCCGAGGACATCAGAGCCCTGATTCTCACAGCAGCTACTCTGGGGAGCACCCGGCCCTGGGCCTGGGCCAGGCTGCAGCCTGGGTGAGCAGCTCCTGTGTCTCCGGCTCCGGAGCACATGGACGCCACTGTGGGACTGGCCAGCCTCTGAGCGTCTGAATGCGAGCTGATGAGTCCTCTTTTACAGGTATCTGTTAACACTTCGGGCAACCTTTTCCTTTTTGTGAAAGTTTCTTGAGGTTTTGTTTTGTTCCCGTGATTTGTTGGCCTCGTGTAGATTCAGGATGTGCCTTTGTCAGATGTGTATCTATCTAGTTATCTTTTTCCAG